ATCTATCTATCTATCTATCTATCTATCTATCTATCTATCTATCTATCTATCTATCACTCTCAATAAAAAGCAATGTGTTTACTATCACCCCCCCTTCCCAGGGCGTTCTCAAACTACGCCTATTTCAATGCCAACTTGAGTCTGGCTGACTTCCACGATTCGGTGGAGGGGTTTCTACAGACTTTCCAAGACTGTTGTATTCACCACTCACTCAAGACCTGTGCTTTTGAGATGCTTTCTCATGTAAGTTGTCTTGGTAGTGGTAGTGGTTGTTGTTGTTGTTGTTGTTGTTGTTGTTGTTGTTGTTGTTGTTGTTGTTGTTGTTGTTGTTGTTGTTTTTTTGTTGTTGCTGTTCCATATTTTGTTGTTGTTATTGTTGTAGTTACTGTTGTTGGTGGTATTATTGCCGTCACCGGTCACTCAAGACCTGTGCTTTTAAGATGCTATCCCATGTAAGTCGTGATGGTGGCGGTAATGAGGGTGTTCATGTTGTTGCTGTTATTGTTGTTTCTGTTTTTGTTGCTGGTCGTCGTGGTACTGGTGATATTGCTGTTTGCGGTTACATATTTGTTTTTTTAGTTTATGCAGAACACATCTTGTCTAAAGGTACTGGAAATTTGACCATTGCCTTGCTTAAGGTAAATGAAACTAATGTTTTACTGTTATATGTCTCTTTTTAATGTATTGGCTCAAGATGATGACCTTGATTTCACATCACGGGGGAAGGAGGAAAATGAGGGTTTTTTTGGGGGGTTTATTTGGGGGGCTTAGCGAGACAGTTGATCTGGCTGATGTTTAAAAGAAACTGAGTTTGATTTTCTTTTATGTAGACGTCTTTATGAGTATCGTTGGCTCTGAAAAGCAGAGTCGAAGCAACGCGCCTCCTTAATGTTCTAAATTATTTCGATGGGAGCGTGGACCTGTGATTTCTTTCTCCTTCCCTTCCTCCTCCCCTTCCTCCTCCCCTTCCTCCTCCCCCTCCCCATCCCACAAGCAGGGTCATGGGCGGCCGGCGGTGTCCCTGTACCACGTATACATCAGAGAGTGGCTAGCTGTGTTCCCCCGGGAGAACTTCCACTTTGTGAGGCTTGAGGACTATCACAAGGACATTACTTCTCACATCCGGGACGTCTACCATTTCCTTGGTCTACGTGAGTTCTTCTGTTTGAGGCAGTAAATAGAACGATACCGCCCGCTGAACCCCCCCCCCCCCCTCCACCAAAAAACCCCCAACCAAAATCAAACCCAAAACAACAACAACAACAACATCAACAAAAAATAATATTCCCATAAGCCAAAGCTCGAGCACGCCTCCTTTCAAACAACCTTTTTTTTTACTTCATTTATTTTTGTGTGTGTGGAATACTCTCCCCGACCACCCCCAACTTTCCGTACTTCCACAACTGAGGCCAAACTGCAGAATTGTATTATAAAAATATCCTAGACCGTGCGATAGATTTGGAATATTATGATATCCTAAATCCGGCACTGTCATGGCCGCCGTTCTCAGGTGCCTTTTAAAAGCTTTGCTGCGCAGGATCGCGCCATGGGTGCGCAAATGAAGGGCAAAACACCAGTCTCGATATAGCCGATTTTGAGCGCAACCTTTCCCTTCTTGTCCCCTAGCTGGTTCTAGACAAAGTCAAACGGTACGCTCCATCATGGTAAACGGGAATTAGGTAAGAGTGCACAGTCTAGGAAATTAAAATATTCGTGCAAGTCTAAGGACTGTATACTCTGGCGTTCTTCTGGTTCACTAATTAATTTAACCAAAAAGGTTATAAATAGAACCACCCATAACGTCTTTGCATTTAACTTTGTTTGAGTCAAATGAAAGGGAACAAAGCGCTTTTTGGGGTGGGGGTGGGGGGTAGAGTTGCCGTGCCGCGACTGCATGAATAGCAAAACATGTGTTCTTTCTGTCTTTTTGGGCGTAATGGCATTGTCCAAGGTAACCCATACCTCGCAACGATGTTTTTATTGAGAGCAAAGACAGTGTGTGCTATAGTACAACAAATGTATGGCCGTAACGATGAGGAGCTTACAGATTTTTGTTTGTCTTTTACTTCAGTGTGGGAGACTCATGTTTACAGCATACATTTTACACGAGGCTAGAGGAAGAAGCAGTTGTCGGAAAGAAAGCAGACTGACAGACAGACAGACAGACAGACAAACAAACATACGTACATACATACATACATACATACATACATACATACATACATACATACATACATACATACATACATACATACATACATACATACATTCCTGCAGACAGACAGACAGACAGACAGACAGACAGACAGACAGACAGACAGACAGAATAATTATATTACTTACTTTGCCACACTGGTCTTTCAGACTGTAACCTCTCACTGCCCCCCCCCCCCCCCACAATTAGTGCTGCCAGGTAAATTTTACAGGAACAACCAAAAAAAAAACACATGTGTTTTTATTGTTCAATGCTCTTCTGGAAGTGGGATGTTTGTGTCAGGACGAAGTTTTAGTATCATTGAAAAGAGCGTTTACCGTTGCACTGTCAGACAATGTTTACATTGTTTAATGGGGGTCTGATTTTCTGTCGAGCGTGGCTTGATCACTGATGGAGCATGTGTGTGTGCTTCCACTCTGTACACGGCAAACCTCCAGCGGTCAGCTGGTCGGGGCTAATGTGAATAGATAACAATTATTATGTGGATAAACCCATCAGCCACTAGCTGATCATTTCCGTGAGGGCGAGTTTGAGCTCATTGTCTAAGCCTGT